ATATATATATATAATGCGCCCATAGGTCACACCACAAGCACAAAGGGAGTGCTGTGTGTGTGTGTGTGGCTGTTTTCCCAAAAATTGAGGAGGGATGGTAAACACCCCTCTGCTATTAGTCCTTCCCCTCCAGAATGATGTGATTCAGATCCGTCGTTCCCACCTGTTGAACACGTTTCGGAATCGATTCTTTTCAAAAGAACCACCAAAGAACTAGTGTAAGGAAACAGCGTTTTTTTTGTGTGTTTGCCTCACTTCACTGCAATTGAAACCGAGCTCAACAGGATCGGAACTGGTTTCAAGTGAGAACAACAGTCATATAACCTGATCAGCAGTTCGCTTTAAATCATAGTGGTAACAAGGCCCTAGTTTGTGTGTTCTTCCTGAGAAATAACTTTTGCCATCTTGACCACACAGTAATGTTTCAGGTGTCTAAAGGCCTAAGCAGACTGCCAGAAATAGTGCACATTAAATTGAGGCACTGCCCTGGCTGAGTGCTAGGGAATCATGGGAACTGTATTTTTTTCTGGGACATTGAGCCTTCTCTGTCAGAGAGCTCTGGTGCCACAATAAATTACAGTTCCCATGATTCCCTAGCACTGAGCCAGGGCAGTGCCTCAATTTAATGTGCACTATTTCTGGCAGTCTGCTTAGGCCCTAAGTTTCCATCTGTGAGATCCTGGAGGGTATGCAGTTCTATGCAGAAGAACTGAATGAACTGATATAGCAATTTGGAGCAAAAGCATTTGGTATAATTCTGCTCCCTCCATACAAATTATTATATCTAGAGTTATACTGTCCAAATAGGTTTATAGGTGATCTTTGAGCATAGTCACATGTGTGATCTGAAAAGGGAAATGGACTGGCTGATTCATTATTTCTCAAGAGTGCAATGTGTTCTAAAATCACAAATGCACAAAAGAGTGCAATGTGTTCCAAAATTATTTCAGCATCTGAATGAATGTGATCATAGGACAGAGTTGTGATGGAAAAAACAGTACTATCAGAATTTTCCATTTTGCATAGCAGTTGAGTGGGATATTGAATTGCAGCTGACAATTCCTTGATGGTCCATCTTCTGAGCTATCCCTGTGACTAGACAGCAGAAGGAAAATCCAAAATAAGCATACATACACAGCCAAATAATTCTGTTTTATTTATTTTAAGGAAAAGAATGTGGCATTTTTGGTGTCAAATTTGTCAAGATGATTAACTTTAAAGTAGAAACTGAAGACATTGAAAAAAAATTAAATATTTTGAATTTAAAGAATTTTAAGAATTGGAAGGGCAGCTATGAAGGAACTAGACAATCCTGAAGTGTAAAGCCATATCATTGAGTACTAAAGTCAAGATTGCCATGCCATTTTTTTCCTGTTTTCTATGCATAGTTGTGAAAGCTGGATAGTGAGGAAAAATAATAAGAATAAAATAATCTCATTTGACATATGGTCATGGAGAACAGTTCTTAGGATATTGTAGCCTGCTAAAAGACAAAACAAATGAGTGTTAGAGCAAGTTAAGCCTGAACTCTCCTTGGGCCTCATTCCCACTATGATTTAAAGCAAATTGCTGATCAGGTT